GGACCAATCAGAACGGATCAATTCGACCATGCGGGATCGCCCAACTACTAGTGGCGGGTACTTTCCAGGGTCCGCCTCTACTATTTTTATTTGCCAACTTTTGCTATTAGTCAGTAAAAATTTCTCTATCCTCCGCCTTCGTGAAAATTCCAATTATATGTACCATGCGTAAGCACTTCAAAGCATATTAATCTTAAGTTGTCCAAAAAATTCTACATGTAACATGCTACATTATAATTATAAATGTCAAATTTATGTTTTGTTCTAAATCAATTTGCTATTATTTAGGCATTAAAATGGATTTCTAGGTATTTAATGTGTATAATTAAAATTTGAACTACGAATACATGAAAAAAAATGCTCAAAAATTGATTGAAAAAACACATTTAAGTTCTTGAGGGTCATATCCAAAAAAAAATTCCAAACATTCGAGAGGGAAGCTAACAACTACTTGGATTTTTTGGTTTTTGAATTTTGAAAATTGTAAATGAAGTGAGAACAAGATGGAACTTGACATGGTTTCATGATATGGTCTATAGAGGTTGTGATTAAAATTTGAAAAGTTTCACAAAAGTTGTGATATACACCGCTTACAAACCGAAACATCTCCAATCAAGGATCGTGGTTTTCAAAGAGAAAGCGTGTAGTTTGAAGGCGAAGTCATAGTTGCTTTATCATTTGACCTTCAAAGGTTTTTTGCATTCAACATACACCACAACTCATCCATGTCAATAGTTGGCATTATTCCTAGTATAAGGCAATGAATGAATTTCTAAGTATATTTCTTCTTTGTGGATGCTTAAGTTTCTAAGCGACATACATCACAAATTTTCCATACAACACCCTCTAGAGGTCCTATCAAGATATCGTGTGAAGTTTCATGATTTTCATACTTGATTTATGTACATTTTTAAATTCAAAAATGACATACATCCATCAAATACCTAGAAATCAAATTTATTGTCCTAAGAATAAAATAAAAACCCTAAAAGGTGTCAAACTATTACATGAAACTTCCAATAATGTGCTTTTAACATATAAATATTTCGGACCATAACCTTAAATACAAAACAGTGAACCTTGTAACATTATAAAAAGGCAGAAAAAATACCAATGGCAGGCCCTAGAAAAAGCCCGTCACTCGTACTTCAAATACCAGTAGCGGGCGCGATAAAAAGCCCGCTAATGGTATTTTTGCCAACAGGTAATCTGGGTCGATATTACCACCCGTGAGTGGCTAGAATGCATGTCCGCCACTCCTAAGGGTGTGTTTGGTAGCTGTTCCCATTCTAGCATAGTTGTTCCCATTTGAGACATACTTAGTCTAGACATGCTCAGTACATGCAACTGCAGTTGTTTGGTAGCAATGTATGTACTGATGCATGCTGAGCTGAGACTATGTTTGATAGGCTGCATCAGACAAGACATGTTGCACTGAGACTGTGTTTGTAGCATGTATATGAGGTATGCTGCATGAACGATTTTTTTTGCCACCAAGACAAATATTGAAACAACATTTCGACAATTCATGAAACAATTCGAGCAATAAAATGTTACCATGCCAACATAATCTGTACAATGATAATATAAATAAAATAATCAACAATTAACATAACACATGATAACCTTAATTTGAAGCAATGCATCACTAGATTCATATTACATAGTTTCATTTGAAGTACACTTTATAATAGGCATTACAAAAGGGATAGTCTGATCAAGCACCAACTAACAACAACTCAAAGAAGACCAGGATTGGCTTTCAAGATTCGCTTGAACGATGCTTTTCAGACTGCATCATTCATCTTCACAAAGTTAAGGACTTTGCCTTATGTTCTGTGAGATAATCTAAAACAGCCAAGCGCTCATCTTGATCAAACACAAGAAGATTCATGACAGCGTTGTACAAGTCAGGGTATGTTTCAGCATGGCAAGTGTTGTTGATAGCACTTGCAATCTCATGCATAGCATCAGTCATGTTGCTACACTGCATTGAGTCCTCCTCAGTCAAGCCAGATGCCCTCTTTCTCTTCTTATTTGAAGTAGGAGAAGGGTCCTGAGTGGCACTAGCAGTAGGAAGTACAAAGTTAGACCCAAGAAGATGTTGCAATACCTTATCTGTTGTTCCTCCCCCCTCCATGACATTCGATTTATCCTTGTCTTCCACAACAATAGGCATTCCTAGGGGTGCACTGGGGCCCATTGCATACTTCCCAGTGGCATGCTTATTAGCAAAGCAAAGTTCCATATAGTCGTAGTTCTCCAGTGGAGAATTGAGCAATTCAACATCTGTTGGATGATCCTGCAACACCATTTGAACAAAAATAATTAACCGAGACATCATTTCAGCTATGAAACATCATCATTTTTGACAAAACTATATCATTTTAACACCGTTTGAGCACTAAGATAACTCATTTCAGCATTAAAAAAGGGCTGATACATGTACATACATACATGAGTGTGGCCCAAATAGTGTTGTTCTTCTAGCACTACCATCTTCTTGTCATCATCCCAAAGTTCCTCACTTAAACCCTTCAAATAGACAAGCCTTGTCCACCTATTCCTCCACTTGCGAATATGATTGTGCACTTGGGTAATAGACACGCCATAACCAACGAAAGAAGATATACGCTTTGCAACTTTCAATTTTTCAACCTCTTTGAATCTTTGTCAGTCTTGGCACCTCTTGCCGCCACCTCTGAAAGGCTTTTCAACATCAACGCCGACATAGGCCGAGTCCAATTCATGACCTTGGGGGCCTTCTTGGGAAGAGCACCAACGCTTGGAACCTCCTGCACCTCATCACCCATCTACAACATAAACATTCCAGAAGTTAATAACATATTTCAGCACATAAATAAGCATAATTCAGCACATAAAAATCACATTTCAGCAGCTCAAAATCATGTTTCAGCTCATAAAAATGAATTTCAACACACAAACACACATTTCAGCACATAAGAAGCATATTTCAGCAGCTCAAAATCATGTTTCCGCACATAAATATAACAGTACAGCAATAGTTTTACAACACCAAGGAACACATCAATTGTTTTACAACACCAAGACACATGATACATCAAATATTTGCTAGCCCTCTATTCGCCCACATCTGATTTGCAAATTCATCTCTTATGAGCCCAAGAAATATTGTCATGGACAATATCATCATGATCTTCATCGTTGGGTTTCAGATCCCATGTTTCCTCAGGTGGGAAATACTCATCCTCACCATATTGAAGTACCTAATTGTGAAGAATTGCACAAGCTAGCACTACTTTTACATGGGTCTTGTAACCATGGAATGACTTATTGTAGACAAACTTCCAACGGTTTTTGTATGCGGCAAAAGCCCTTTCAACCGTTGTCCTCAAAGAAGAGTGTCTTAAGGGAACAAAGAAGCAATTTTTTTGTCTAAACCATATACGCCTATATGAACAAGAGCTCTTTGTACAAAAAAAACGCCTCATCTCTGGTCACGCAGTAGCGGCTCGTCCTTGGTCACGCAGCAACGGCTCGCAGAGGCCGAGCCAGGAAGGAAGGGGTGAGGAGGGCAGAGGGAGAAGGAGGCAGAGTAGCTACCTCTCCTGGCAGCCGCGAGATTCATGTGGGGCGGCCGCGATTTGAAGACCGGGGCGGCGGCGAGGTTGACTTGGGCGGCGGCGAGGTTGACCGGGGCGGCGGTGACGGCGGCGAGGTACAAGATCAAAGGGGACCGGCAGGGATGCAGATCAGGTGGCAGTCGCCATGGAGTTTGCGGGAGAGAGAGGGGGGCGAGGGGTGGCGGCTAGGTCAGGGAGGGGTGGTCGGGAGAGACCGAGAGAGGTCGTTCGATCCTGGTGGGTAAGAAGGAGATTTTTGCAGGGGTCGAACCGACCTCGCTGACCCCAGCTCGCATGTATGTGGGTGCTCGAGCGAGCATAGCTCGGGGCCTTTTTTGCATTAGATGAGCTATGCCCAGAAGAGCCCATACACCCTGCACACCTAAAAATGGGTTGGGTAGGAAACTTTTAGCCTCATGCACCCTACCAAACACATCCTAAGCTTCCACTTACTACACGCAGTTCTTTTGTGTGTGTGTGATTACCGGGGGCGTAGCCAACCAAGGATACCAGGGTCATGGCATGGGTTGTTTTGTTCACTGTAGTGAAACGATGTTTAGCACTATAGCTAGTGATTGACCCTGGGCTTGTCATGGCTATGACATTGATGATTAGGTTGAATCGATGGAATGAGATTGTTTATAAAAATATTGAACTTGTTAAATCTAACGAGCTGAAATCAACGATCAACTCTGTTGACGAAGAAGACCTAGTAGCAGTAGGTCGAAATGTACTCCTCTGCGCGTTTCCATTTCACAGGCATGATAAAGCTGGAGGCTGTGTGCATGTGCTGAAAGCCTGAATCAGTTCTTTCCTGCGTTCCCCGCTCGCTCGTGATCCCTACAGTAGTAGAGTACATAAGAGCCTGACACGAAGCTAGCGTCCGACCACGATTTTTTATCTAGGTTTCTTGGAAATTCCCCTGTGGTACGCGGCTCTCCTACATGCCATGAACGGCACGAACACCGTCGCGCGCTCGTACGGGCAAGCATGCAGACGCAGTCATTCTCTCGTATCGGTAACATCTCAAAGCCGTTACACAAGGAGACAACTGACGCGTCATCTGCACAGCGTAGACGTCGAGCACGAGAGAGCCGACGGGTAAGCTGTCTCTCTTCTTGTCCTGCTCACCGAGTCACTCTCGCCATCGGAGGATGATGTCTACTCTAATCTAACCACGAGTATTAAACACAACGGCGCCGGTCCGTGCGGCCAAAATTTCCCTATCCGAAACCCAGTCACAGTCTCCGAACACACGGCTACGATGGAGCTGCCAAAAATCGCAGGTTATGCCTCAACCTTGAGGAAGTGAAGAGAGAACGAATGATCGGTGGAGCCTGTACGATTATATCACGAACCTTTGATAATTACGGGCCAAATAATAGCAAAATTTGATCAGGAATCATGGCGTTTTTGCTCGGCAACGGCGGCGTGGTCGTCTTCCGTCGGCTCCCACGACGATGCTGTGAGCAGGGAGAGGTCTTTCCACCCGAGCTTGAGGCACCCGTCCTCCTCCACCAGCGTGTAGCCCTTCCACGGGTACATGCCGATCAGCAGCCTGGCCTGCGCGGCGGGGCTCCCGGCGAGGGACACGGGCCGGAACCCGGCGCGGCGCAGCTCGTCGCCCCACCGCTCCACCCGCACCTCGCCCGTCCGCTTCGGGCCCCCAACGGCCACGATGTTCCGTATCTCCGCGCCCAGGAGCTGCCGCTCCACCGCGTGCCGCTCCTCCTCCGCGGCGCCCGCGCCGTCGCGCAGCGCGTCGAACAGCGCCGAGTAGTAGTGCAGCGCCTCCACGAACCGGCCCAAGAAGTCGCCGCTGTGCCCCAGGTCCTGCTCCACGATCGTGATCAGCTTCGGCCGCAGGCTCTTGAGCAGCCGCACCGTGCCGACGTCCGAGCCCGTCACGTCGTAGAGGCAGTGGTGCATCCAGTGCACGACGGTGGCCTCCCTGTGGCGGTGGCGCGGGCCGAGGAGCGCGGTGGTGTCTGCGACGTGCCCGATCTTCCCATCGATAGGCTGGAACTCGAAGGGCAGCCCGAGCGACGCCGCGAAGTCGGCGAGGCGGCGGCCGGTGGCCTCGAGGACGTCGAGCGAGGCGCCGAGCCCGGTGACCCGGAGCGAGAGCGGCCTGCGGGGCCGGGACGCGAGCATGTGGAACAGCCCCGGCCACTGCAGCCCCTGCATGATGTCGAGGTCGATGACGTGGACGTGGTCCTCGCCGTCGAGCGCCTGCAGGATGGCCTTGTTGGCGGTGAAGTGCGAGAACTTGACGAGCGGGGAGAGCGCGTTGTACGCCTGGAAGGCCGAGGAGATGCGGCGGCTCTGCGCGGCCGCGAGCGGGCGGAGCGCGAGCGGCGAGTAGGCGCCCAGGTACGAGCTGAGCACGCGCGCGCACAGCGCGTCGCCGAAGTAGGCCGCGACGCGCTCCGGGGAGGACCCGAACGGGGACGCCAGCTCGGCGACCTCCTGCAGCATGTCCTGCGCCTCCGGGAGCTGGTCCATGGCCACCGCCTCCGCGCACCTGAGCAGCAGCCTCAGCAGCCGCAGCCCGCGCGTCTCCGGCGCCTCCGCCACCCGCTCCCCCTCCTCCCCCGCGGCGGCCACCGCCAGGCCCTGCTCGGAGGCGGAGCCATGCAGCTGCAGCCGCTTCCCGCGCGCCTTCTCCTCGTCGTCGGGCATCGACGCCGCCTGCTTGGCCTTCATCGCGTCGGTGGCGGGCGCGCGCGACAGGACGCCCTGGATCATCACGACAGACAGAGGCCAATAATTTCAGGTGAGGCCGAGCGAGCTGGCGGGCGGGCGGGAAGAGTCGGTCAGTGGCAACTCACTGATAAGCTCAGGGATAACTCATAACTGCGATGACTTGGTAGAGCATGGCGGGCGCGCGGGCGTGGGAGCAAAGGCGCGCGGCCGCCTGCGCTTGTCGATTTGCTGGGGCTTGGTGGCGTCCCGTAGCGGGCGGCGCGCAGGCAGAGGGAATCAAAGGGCGGGGCCGCGCCAGGGCGACCGCTTGTCTCCACTCCGGGGCCGGTAGAAAAGAAATTGCGGGCGTGGCGCGAGCGCGAGACCGGCGTGGGTTGATTGGGCCGGGGCGATCATTTGACGGGGGACGAGACGCCACGCCGTACGCGAACAGGGCGGGGGCTCGGAGACCGGACAAGAGCTTCCCTCGGATACCGGTGATGCTGGTGGGACGTTTATGGTTAGGCAGACGAGCTTCCTGCTCATCAACGGGGACGGCTTCGGCTCAGGCGCAACTCTGCAGGAGCAGCCCTACACAGTAGTGGCACCCGTGTGGTGACGCCACTGGCCCAGCAGCATCGGCCGGCTAATTTTTAAGATTAGACCTTAATTTAAAAAAAATCGAGATCTGACCCTTTTGCTACCGCCAGAGTCCATGGCGGTAGGGTCTAACAGCCTACCGCCAGAGACTTTGACGGTAGAAAATATCGCTACCGCCAAACGGGTTGGTGGTAGCCTGCACAACCCTACCGCCAAGATGCTTGGCGGTAGGCACGAGCACACACTATGTTTAATACTTAGGAGGTTTTTGGCGATAGGGCATGCAACCCTACCGCCAGGGACCTTGGCGGTAGGCTGTTATACCCTACCGCCATGATCCCTGACGGTAGCAAAAAAGACCAGATCTCGAAATTTTTTCAAACTAAGGTTAAATCTTGAATATGTTTAAAAAAAGGGTCAAAACATGAAATTTAGCCGCATCGGCCACGGATGGTAGAGACAACAGGGGTACACGGGTACCCGCCGGCGCGTCTTCCTTTTAAAGCGCGTACCCCTCTTGGAGCATCTACAACCACGATTATCTATACGAATGTGGACGTGTCCGGACAGTCGTGCTCAAACAAAGCCCAGTTTACTCACTCCATAACCACAAACCCATATATCCGCACCTTATTTCATAAAAACACACATATAGAGTACGTAGATCATGCCGGTTAGCATAAAAAGATACCAAATCAGACATCAGACATAATTCATCGGAAAGGCCCACAGAGTTAAAATTTAACCCAAATACTCCCGTTTCAAAATATAAGGTGTATTGTTTTTGTGCAAGTCAACCATTTGAATGTTTGACCAAGATTATAGAATAAAATAACAACATCTACAATACCTAATAAAAATATGAAATTACTTCTCATGATGGTTCAGATGATATAAATTTCGTATTCTGGATATTGATATTTTTTTTAGAAACTCGGTCAAACATGCACTCATTTGACGTTTGAGAAAAATAAATACACCCTATATAAATGAATGGAGGGAGTGGAGGATAAAACAAACTAATATATAAACATAAACAGTGAGGGGCGGGGGAGTTCACCACTTCCTCTTGGGGTCTCCGCGGTTGTCTTCGGCGGGCGAGGAGTCATCGTCCGCCGTGCCATTGTTGTCGTAGGAGGAGGACGACGAGATGAGGAACCCCGCCATGTGGCGGGCGGCGCGGTTCTACTCCGTCGTGAGCCGGGCGGCTCTTTCTACCGCCACCTCTGTCGTGTCAAAATCGGCGGATCTCTGGTAGGGATTCCCGAACTGTGGATCTTTGATCAATGGGGAACAAGGGACTAGGGACACGATGTTTACCCAGGTTCGGACCCTCTCTAAGAGGTAAAAACCTTACGTCCTGCTTGATTATATTGCTTATGTATATGAGGATTACAGAGTCGATCTAACACGAGATCAGATGAACTAACCCTAGACTAGTAGGATGATGGTTGTCCTTCTACGGACTAAACCCTCTAGTTTATATAGACATCATTGGTACTAGGGTTATACATGGTCGGTTACAAGGAGAGGATAAACATGCCGATTCTTATCATCTTGACTTGGAGGACACACCAAGGCATCAAGGATCTTCTTGTCGGGATACAAAGTCTCTTCATAGTTCGACCTTCTAACAATTAATAGTGCGGCCCTCCTATCCGACCCATGAGAGTTAGGGCGGTAGCCCGAGGACTCCCTAGTCCAGGACTCCCTCAGTAGCCCCCGAACTGGCCTCCAACGCTGGAGTGTATAATCATTAGTTGTATTGTGCGTCCCAAAGTCTTTGGCTTGCGGGGCGGGTTTCTCATCCTTTCCTTGTTCAGCCGCTTCAGTAATGCGGCTGCCGACGACCTCCTAGTCCCTCAGGTGATAGGTGGGCCCCCAACATTGATATTTACCAGGATCTAAAGACAACCTTCGGTTTGCGTGCGCTCTTTAGAAGGCGAGCAGTCCAGCGCTCTTTTACAGAAGCACCCTCGCAGGGGCAGGAGGCGCGTCTATTTAATAGATTAGGAGATCGACGGGTGGTTAACCCTAAAGGAAATATGCCCTAGAGGCAATAATAAAGTTGTTATTTATATTTCCTTATATCATGATAAATGTTTATTATTCATGCTAGAATTGTATTAACCGAAAACTTAGTACATGTGTGAATACATAGGCAAACAAAGTGTCCCTAGTATGCCTCTACTTGACTAGCTCGTTAATCAAAGATGGTTAAGTTTCCTAGCCATAGACATGTGTTGTCATTTGATGAACGGGATCACATCATTAGGATAATGATGTGATGGACAAGACCCATCCGTTAGCTTAGCATAATGATCATTTGGTTTTTCTGCTATTGCTTTCTTCATGACTTATACATGTTCCTCAGACTATGAGATTATGCAACTCCCGAATACCAAAGGAACACCTTGTGTGCTATCAAACGTCACAACATAACCGGGTGATTATAAAGATGTTCTACTAGTGTCTCCGATGGTGTTTGTTGAGTTGGCATAGATCAAGATTAGGATTTGTCACTCCATGTATCGGAGAGGTATCTCTAGGCCCTCTCGGTAATGCACATCACTACAAGCCTTGCAAGCAATGTGACTAATGAGTTAGCCACGGGATGATGCATTACGGAACGAGTAAAGAGACTTGCCGGTGACGAGATTGAACTAGGTATGATGATACCGACGATTGAATCTCGGGCAAGTAACATACTGATGACCCACAAGTATAGGGGATCTATCGTAGTCCTTCCGATAAGTAAGAGTGTCAAACCCAACGAGGAGCAGAAGGAAATGACAAGCGGTTTTCAGTAAGGTATTCTCTGCAAGCACTGAAATTATCGGTAACAGATAGTTTTGTGATAAGATAATTTGTAACGGGTAACAAGTAACTAAAGTAAACAGGGTGCAGCAAGGTGGCCCAATCCTTTTTGTAGCAAAGAACAAGCCTGGACAAACTCTTATATAAAGGAAAGCGCTCCCAAGAACATATGGGAATTATCGTGAAGCTAGTTTTCATCATGCTCATATGATTCGCGTTCATTACTTTGATAATTTGATATGTGGGTGGACCGGTGCTTGGGTACTGCCCTTCCTTGGACAAACATCCCACTTATGATTAACCCCCTTTGCAAGCACCCGCAACTACGAAATAAGAATTAAGGTAAACCTAACCATAGCATGAAACATATGGATCGAAATCAGCCCCTTACGAAGCAACGCATAAACTAGGGTTTAAGCTTCTGTCACTCTAGCAACCCATCATCTACTTATTACTTCCCAATGCCTTCCCCTAGGCCCAAACAATGGTGAAGTGTCATGTAGTCGACGTTCACATAACACCACTAGAGGAAAGACAACATACATCTCATCAAAATATCGAACGAATACCAAATTCACATGACTACTTATAGCAAGACTTCTCCCATGTCCTCAGAAACAAACGTAACTACTCATAAATCATATTCATGTTCACAATCAAATGGGTATTAATATGCAGAAATGATCTGAACATATAATCTTCCACCGAATAAACCAACTAGCATCAACTACAAGGAGTAATCAACACTACTAGCAACCCACAGGTACCAATCTGAGGTTTTGAGACAAAGATCGGATATAAGAGATGAACTAGGGTTTGAGAGGAGATGGTGCTGGTGAAGATGTTGATGGAGATTGACCTCCTTCTGTTGAGAGGATCGATGGTGATGACGATGGTGACGATTTTCCCCCTCCCAGAGGGATGTTTCCCCAACAGAATAGCTTTGCCGGAGCCCTAGATTGGTTCCGTCAAGGTTCCGCCTCGAGACGGTGGCACTTTGTCTCGAAAGCTTTCTTCTGATTTTTTCCAGGGAAAAAGACACCTTATACCAGAAGATGGGCATCGGAGGCCTGCCAGGTGGCCCATGAGGCAGGGGGCGCGCCCAGGGGGTAGGGCGCGCCCCCACCCTCGTGGACGGTGGCTGGCTCCCCTCTGGTGCTTTCTTCGCCAATATTTTCAATATATTCCAAAGTTAACTTTCGTGGAGTTTCAGGACTTTTGGAGTTGTGCAGAATAGGTCTCTAATATTTGCTCCTTTTCCAGCCCAGAATTCCAGCTGCCGGCATTCTCTCTCTTCATGTAAACCTTGTAAAATAAGAGAGAAAAGGCATAAGTACTGTGACATAATGTGTAATAACAGCCCATAATGCAATAAATATCAATATAAAAGCATGATGCAAAATGGACGTATCACATACCGATGACAAAGGGAACAACGTATGTTGTTACGCGGTTTGACCGATAAAGATCTTTGTAGAATATGTAGGAGCCAATATGAGCATCCAGGTTCCGCTATTGGTTATTGATTGGAGATATGTCTCGGTCATGTCTACATAGTTCTCGAACCCGTAGGGTCCACACGCTTAACGTTCTATGACGATTTGTATTATGAGTTTCGTGTTTTAATGAACCGAATTTTGTTCGGA